AGGGCTGGCCCTCGAGAGAGTCAGTGGGGGAGATGAGAACGCGTGAGGACTGTGGCTACAGGTGGATCTGAAGAGGAAAGTCACAATGGCCAGTTGTACACACTTCCCTAAGGATGGACGAAGGCTGCGGGCCACTGGGGTCACCGTTGAGAGCTCGCGTGACCTCATTAGGGCTGGGCAGTCCTCTCCCATCCACTAAGACTAAGATTAAAACTGCTAACACTAAAGACAATTCGAAGACTAGAGATTATCAACCAAGGTTAATGTTGTCACCCTTGTACCCTTTGGTCCCTTTATATCAATATCACCTTGGTGACTACACTTGCAATCACACTGTGTTGTAGGCAACTGAATTAGATAGAAATATTATAAGCACTCAGACAGGGCCTGGCCCTCACAGAAACAAGATGGAAGACAAGGTCACTTCGCAACTTGGAAGAGACAGACGCTCCTGTGTGGGCCAGATCTCAAGACCAAGACAAAAGAGCTACGTACTTCCCTAGGGATGGGCATCAGGGATTGATAGTCTAAGTAGGTATCAATCACCTTGAAAGAGCCCAGTGAATCACTAGCCCACCCCTCAATAGGAAGAGACCCTGTCCTGTATTCATGCCCGCTTGCTACGAGACTCCCTTCCCCATTTGATACTGGATTTAATCAATTTTACCTGAGCAATGGTGCTTGTAATCTCATTGGTTGACCATAGTTTTGTCCCACTTCATGCCCACCTGAGCGAGTTCCCATGTCTTCTCCACCACCTTAGACCCATCTCACCATATGGTTTTACACTATAAAAGTCCCTGGAAGAGACAGCTTCCAGGGAACAACTGGCTCAGGCCCCACTCCTGTCCTTCTCTCAGACAGCAGCTTTCTTTCTCTCAATAAATATATTCTGCTCATAACTTCCACTTGTTCCTAAAATTCATTCTTCGGTTTTAGAGAACACAAACTCATCCCACATACCTTTTAGGTTGGGAGATCAGTTTTTCTCCCTGTGTCATTTGGTGGTTCCCTGTATCAACTGGCTGATCATAACTGTAATCCACGTCATACCCACTTCCTGATTTTGCTCCACAAAACTTCCTTGGAGAGGTGGGCACACTGCCAACTTCTTCAGGAGCCCTCCTGTCTCCCAGGAGCTTTTCCTGTCCACCTTTCCCCATTTCCGTTCCCCATTTCTTTTCCTCAATACATCTTCCTGCTCTCAACCTCTGCTGTTCCGTAGAATTCCTTGACTTCAGGAACACGAACTCGAGTACACAACTTCTAACATTTGCCCTCTATCTTAAGGCGCATCTGCTGAAAGCCAAGCCTCGAGATAAGACAGACTGCCCAGGACCACACGCCTCCCCAAGGGACAAGTGGCATACATTGTAAGTCTAGGAGGACATCATTCACCTAGTGGGGGGCCAGCACCTCCTGACTCATCTCTTCCCAGAAAGGTCCTTGTTCCTTCTCTCTACACTCGCTACGTAACTTGCTTCCCCACTGATCAACATTACCTAAGCAGCTATTCTTGTAATCTTATTGGATGATCATAGTTTTGTCCTGCGTTGTACCCACCTCATGACTTTGTTCTATATAAAACTTCTTTTGTGTAGTAGGTTTGTTGGCAATCCATTTTCTAGGTCCCATCCTGTCTTAGGAGCTGTCTCGCCCTCAATAAAATTTCTTATTTTGGGGGGGCAGTTTTCACTATGAATTCAGGCTGGCTTTGAACTCATGACAATTTTCTTGCCTCGGCCTACCACGTGCTGGGATTACAGGCCTGTGCCACCACTCTGATTTTCAAATTTCCTCCTCTTGGGCCACAGTTGTCTCCTGCACTGGCTTCTCAGGCCCAGCCCTATCTGGCAGCCTATAATACTTCAAGGAAACTGAATGGCCCATATGACTTAGAATTCACCTTTTATTAGAGGGAAGACAGCTCGGCCTGGCACGGAGGGAGTTTCACCACTTCACCTACATCACTAGGGGTCCTGTGTCACCAGCATATTGGTGCTAACATGGGCTCAGAGAACCTTGTTTCTTGCTCCTTACTCATCCCGGGATGATTACATGGATGCTCTTAAGGGAAGGTTGTGTGCCTTGGATAATGGGCAGCTCAGCTGCCCGGTGTTTGGGGAAGTGGGCTTGTTGGGCCCCAGAGCTCTGACATCTATCTACCTGTTCAAAGAGACTTGGGCAAGCTTCAGTCCAATAGGTCTAAATAAAGAAGACGGAAGTGATCTGTGTTTCTGTGTGCATTTTGGTTTCAGTTAAGACAGGGTCTCCTTAAGTAGCCCAGGCTGCCCTCTGCAGCAGCCCTCCTGCCTCAGCCTCCCAATGCTGAAATGATAGGTGTGTACCACCAGGCTTGGCTCATACTTCCACGAATTCATCTCTTAGCATCCTAAACTTTAACCCTTACCTCAGCACACTATGTGAGTATTAGAACCCCACGGTATGAATATCAGAAAATAGGGAATTTAAGTTGATTTGTGAAAATTACCTTGCATTGGGAAGTTAGAAGGTTTGCATTTTAGTTCTGATTCTGGTATTTAATGAACATGTGACTTCCAGGGAATGAGTCACACACAATTTACACCAGACAGAGCTATAATTCATTTATCTAATATAGAAGAATAAAATGCTCTGATTCCTCTTTAGATCCAGTAAATCTGTCACCTTTTACTTGAAAAATACAGTGAATAATATAGTATAAAAGGATACTGTTTATTTTATTTATTTATTTTTCATGTATTTAGTACAGGGTCTACAGGGTGTCCAGGGTCTCACTACGTAGATCAGACTCGTAGTGACTCTTCTGTTTTCAGCCTTCCAGGTGCTGGCATTACAGGGGTGCACCTCCACGCCCAGTCTCATTCACCTCTCAGCATGCCCCATGGTTGGGACCAGCATGGCACACCAGGGATCAAACCCTGGCCACTGCGCTCTGCCTAAGATGGCGCTTTAGTCCACTGAGCTATCTGGCCGGCCCTTATGATTATTTTTGGAGACAAGATCTCATTACACAGTTTGGGTTGGCCTTGTGCTCATTTTTCTTTTTTTGTCTCCAACTCATAATGATCCTCCTGTCTCAACCTCCAGAGTGCCAGGATTACAAACGTGTGTCACCACACCCAGTTTCTTAAAGGACTGTTAATTTTGACCTGAGCTATCAATACACATCTTAAGTTGTGAACACTGTAAAGTGAAAGACATAACTGTCACAGACTTCAACACCTGATACTAGTTCAGTACATCTTAAGAATTCTTAAGATATGGGAGGCGGAGGCAGGAAGACTGCCACAAGTTTGAGGCCATTCGGGGCTACACAGTGAGTTCAAGGTCAGCCTGAACTACACAGCTAGACCCTGTCTCAAAAAACAAAAAGCAAAACATGAATTCTTAAAATAATAAACAAGGGTCATTTTTTGGTAACAGGGTCTATGTGTAGTCCAGGTTGGCCTCAAACTTGATCCTTCCGCCTTAGCCTCCTGAGTGCTGGCACCACAGATATGCATCAGCATACTCAGTGAAAACACATTTTTTAAAAATGTATTTGGTACAGAGTCTACAGGGTCTCACTACACAGATCTGACTTGTAGTGATCCTCCTATTTTCAGCCTCCCAAGTGCTGGGATTACAGGCCCATGTCCAGTCTCAATCGCTCTCTCAGCGCACCCTGGGGACAGGGGCATGCTGGGAATCAAACCCCAGTCCCTGGATCTGCCTAGGCAGGCGCTTTAATCCACTGAGCTATCTGGCAGGGCCTGAAAACACATTTTTAATAGCTAACACTTTTAACTTTCAACAGTGACAAGAAGTGCATATCAGTGTAAAAACAACCTGTAACAAGACCTTTTGTCCACAGTCATTTTTAAAGAAGATAAACCAAGCTTGCCTGGAGCTTGGCTGCCTAGAGGAACCGGGCTGCAGTGAGCCCTGGACAGCACACTGCCACAGGCAAGCGGGTGCAGCTCCCAGGCACCGGGCCACACCGACAGCCGCACTCATCACGCAGATGCGCCTGTGCTTCTTCCTGCTGTCCTTCCCAGCCGTCTCCTCTTCGGTGTTCAGAGGCACATGTCTGTTATTCCTCCCAGCGTTAGGGAAGCTGAAGCAGGAGGATTGCCCCTAAGTGCGAGGCCAGCGCTGGCTTTGTAGAAGATAAATACAAATGATCAAATTACATCAAAACTTGATTTTTTTTTTTTTTTTTTTTGGTCTTTTTGAGACAGAGTTTTGTTATGCAGCTCAGGCTGGCTTTGGCTCCTGCCAAACAATTGTACTATTATTTTATGAATTTGGTACCGGGTCTCACTACACTGCTTAGACTCGTGGTGATCCTGCTGTTTTCAGCCTACCCAGGCCTGGGATTAGGTCTTGGTGGACAGTTTAGCGCATGGAGGATTGAATCCCGGTCCCTGAGCTTGCCTAAGTAGGCGCTTGGTCCTCTGGGCTATCTTGCCGACATTATTATTATTATTATTATTATTATTATTATTGGTATTATGATGGCACCAGGAAGCAGACAAGGCACCTTGCACTTGCCGTGCAGGCGTTTGTGCTGTTGAGCTACATGGCTGGCCCTGTATTTTTTTTTTTTTTTTTTCTTTTTCTTTTTTCCGGTACCGGGGATTGAACTAAGGACCCTGAGCTTGCCAGGCAAGCACTTATTCTGCTGAGCTATCTCCCTGGCCCTGCCCCTGTATTATTCTCGATCAGCATTCACTATAAAGCACAAGGAGAGCTGGGTTCGCGATCTCAGCATTCAGGGAGTTGAGGCAGGAGCATTGCCTAAGTTTGTGCCAACCTGGGCTGTACAGGGAGACCCTGTTTCAAAAGAAAACAAAACAGCTCAAGGGGTAAGGAGAAAAGGAAGAGGTGTATGCCTGTGCCTGGGCGGACCTTGACCCCGGTCCGGGACCCGGATCCCCGCTGAGCACACCTCTTGCCCCCGCACTCGCCCAATCCCGGCGCCGCGCTCCGGCCCTATTTAAATACCGTGCAGCGGTGCACTGGAGCAGTTCTTCCTGCCTCCGAGTGGATCTAAGCCAGAGCCGCTGTCTCCCGGCCGAACAGGTTTGTGCAGGGCCGGACAATGGACGCGAGGCTGACTCTGGACACCAAGGTGGAGGCGGCTGGGAAGGACAGCGGGAAGAAGTACAAGCGCATCTGCCTGGTGAGTGCCGCTGTCGGTGCCGCCCGCGCCGGGAGCCGCGCCCGCGAGCCTGTGGCAGCGCGCGGTCCAGGGGTCGCTGTGGCCGGTTCCTCTAGGCGGCCGTGCTCCGCCGGAGCGAACTCCAGCGGTAGCGTTCGATTGTCAGTCAGGCGCTGCCCGCTGTCTCTTTTGCTACTTTCCTGCTGCCTGAGTAGTTTCAAAGAAGAGAGGGAATTCCCATCAGTGCACTTCATGTTCTTCACTGAGCTAGTTTCTCAAATTCTAAAGGGATCCAGTCTTCTCTGGCTAGTTAGTCCCTCCTTTTTTTTTTTGGAACCAGGGATTGATCTCAGGCCCTTGTGCTTGCCGGGCACCCCGGCCCCCTCCTTGTGATCCCTTATCCTAAAAAGTATAGTCAGAGCTGTATTACTCTCTTTTTCCTTTCCTCATCCAAGTTTTGAGAAAGGAGGGCAGGGTCCACTGCCTCAGCCTCCTCCCAGCCACCCCTTGGGCTGCAGCTTTGCCTGTACCTGGTAACACTGGGGCTTCCTCTCCCAGAGAGCAACCCTCTCTCCTCCTCCTCCTCCTCCTCCTCCTCCTCCTCCTCCTTCTCTCACTGAGTAGCCAGAACAATGCATACAAATTGCTGAACCCTCCTTTTCTCTTTGGATTTTGAGACAGGGTCACACTAGGTAGCCCAGGCTGGCTGCAAACTCACAGTGGTCCTCCTGCCTCATCCTCCTGAGAACTGGGATTACAGGTGTGCACCACCTTCCCAGCCCATTTATCTTTCTCCTCATTTCACCCAACCCATAACTGGTTGTAGGAGTCCCCTGGTTCTCATCTTGGTCCAAGAAATCTATATTTATAATCCCAAAACTACATTCCTGGAATCCCACCAAGTTAATTTCTTTCTTTCTCTTTTCTTTTCTTTCTTTCTTTCTTTCTTTCTTTCTTTCTTTCTTTCTTTCTTTCTTTCTTTCTTTCTTTCTTTCTTCTTTTGTGAAACCAGGGATTGAACTCAGGCTCTTGAGCTTGCCAGGGAAGTGCTTATTCCATTGAGCCATCTCCCTGGCCCCCTACGAAGTTAATTTCAAACTACCATGCCAGTGCAACCCACGGTGAAAACAAAGACACTAAAGCATATATATATAATTATTGGGGAGCTGAGGGTCCCTAAGTCCAGCCACAAAGATGGCTTTCCAGAGCAAAGTGACCGACCCAGGGCTGCACCTGGGTTTTACTAAGTGGCTTGAGAGAGAATTGTGGGAAGTAGGTGAGTACTATGAGCTGGGTTAGGTAGGCAGCCTGCATTTACCTCTGTCATATGCAGAGAGACGGATATGTGGAGAAAGTAACTTACATTATGCTATTGAGAAAGTATTGGGCTGGGGAGATGGCTCAGTAGAATAAGCATTTGCCTGCAAGTGCAAGGGCCTGAGTTCAAGCCCCGGTTCTACCAAAAAAAAAAAAAAAAAAAAAAAGTGTCTAATGTTTTGAGGGTCTGGTGCTTCAGCTCTGAAGTGTAATCTTTCAAGCCCCAAGAAGTCATAGCTGCTATCTCAAGGCTTGATCCTAGCTGACAGCGTGGAACACTGGCTCTTCGTCCTATTTCAACCTGGCTCATATTAGAGAGCAGCAGGTGTGGGTTCTCAGGGAAATACACAAGCTGTCTTCAAAAATTACCACCAGTTCCTCAGCTAAACCAGTATGTATTGCTTAAGGCCAATTGAAAGGACAAAAGAAGTCCTAACCAGCTCTGTATGTATCAACGCGAGGAAACAGGGTCAGGCTCAGCCAAAATGAAGAGGATGGCTCTTGCAAGGAGAGCTGCCCAGGTGGTCCTCCACAGGTGGTTCCCAAAGCCTGTCTAGAGAGCAGCCTGCAGTCATAGGAGCCCTGTCTCCCCCTGGAGCTTCTCTAGCTGAATCGCTTGTCCTCATTTCCGGCTCCTGCTGCCCAACGCTCTGAAGTCTCCAGGCAAAATCCATTGCACTCTCCAATGAGTTTCTCCATCATTGCCCTCTGCAGCATCGTCTTGAACTCCTGCCCAGGATAACATGCTGTGTCCTTCTCTGTCTCTGTCTCACTGTCTCTATCTCAGTGTCTCACTGTCTCTGTCTCTCTCTCCTGGTTTTTTTTTTTTTTTTGCTTGTTTGTTTTTTTGCAGAACCGAGAATTGAACTCAGGCAAGAGCTTATTTTACTGAGCCATCACCCCGGCTCTCTCCTGTCTTTTAAGCACTAGGGCTTTAGCCATAGCCTTCACTCCCAAGCTACGTATACCCCAACCCTTTCTATTTTGAGACAGAGTCTCACTAAACGGTTAAGTTGCTGAGGCTGGGTTTGAACTTGTGCTCCTCCTGCCTTGGCTTCAGCTAGATTCACAGATGTTGCTTTCATATCAGGCACTCTCTGGCGTCGCTAAGGGGAGTCACTGAGACTGTGGGTCTTCCGCTTGGTGTTTATACTTTGGGGAATTTTTCATTGGCTTTTTGAGATGGAATCTTCCTGTGTAGCCTGGGCTGGCCTTAAACCCGGGGCTAACCCTCCTGCCTCAGCCTCCTGGGTGCTGGGATTGCAAGGCTGGGCCAGCGTGCCTGGTGTGTTTTCTTTGCACTCGGGTGACTGTGCTATAAAACCTTGGCCTGAGTCCTTCATATGTATGTTGCCACTCTTTATGGCACTGGCCCACCTCCCAGTCCTGCCACCAGTGCTTATCAAGGACATCATGGGCTGGCAGAGGACAGGAAAGGCCTGAGTGGCACCGCAGCTTCACGGAGATGCAGCTTAAAGTCCACAGCCCGGACATCGGTCAGCAGCTTCCAGGCCTGTGATAAGAGTGTGCAGCGGACTGCTACACCAGCTGGGTGCTGTCCTCCGGTGAAGGAGGAGCCCGAGGGTGGAGGAAGTTAGGGAGATCACAGCTCTGCTGTGTGCCAGGTGCCTTTGCAGAAAGGATCCCCAAAGATATGTCCAGTAAAGGAAGAAAAATGGACACAGGCATGGTGGTGGCCCTGCCTATAATCCCAGCACGCAGGAGGCTGAGGCAGGAGAATCACTGTGAGTTCGAGGCCAGCATGGCCCACAAAGTGAAATTTTGTCTCAAGAAACCAGTAAGTAAATAAATTTAAAAATAAAATGAGAAAAAAAGAAAAATGGATAAAGATAAATGACTCCTCCAGATACTGGGGATTGAACCCTGGACTCTATACTCCTGAGCTACATCCCCAGCTCTTTTTGAACTTGAAGGCAGGATCTTGCTAAACTACCCTTGAGCTTGTGATCCTCCTGCTTTAGCCTACTGAGTAGTGGGGCCGGCAGGCAGGCACCAGCCCACCTGGCACTCCTGTGGTTTTGATTGCATTTGAGTTAAGTGTGTAGTTGAGTAATGAAAGTACCTCAACATAGAGATGTCTAGCATACAGTGCCCTTGAAATGGCTCTGCTCTCTCGGGAATTAACCAAGTTGCACACCTCTGTGTGGGCTCCTGTATGGTTGGCAAGATGGCAGTTATTTTTCATTACATTAGAAAAAATCGTAAAGGCACTTTTCCCTTCCTTCCTATAGGTTCTCCTGGCTTTGCTGGTGATAGTGACGCTTGGGTTAGGCTTGGGGCTTGGCCTGAGAAAGCCAGAAGAACAAGCACAAGGTACAGGAGCCCCAGTGGCTTCCAAAGGCTGAACAGCTTCTCATCCACCCCCCTTGTCTTCCTTCTCCTTGTGCCCCTCCCCTTGCCTGCCCCTCTCCCTGCCCCTTCCCCCTCCTCCTCCCCTCCTCCTCTCCCTTCTACTCCCCCTTCCCCTTCTCCCTCCTCATTCTCCTCATCTCTCCCTTCTGCCAGAGCCTGCCCTGCTCACATCCTCACCCTCATTTCTTGCACTTTGCTCTTCACCCTCCAAGAGAAGCCGCCCCTGGAGATTTCAATTGCCTTTCCTGGGAACTCTGACAATTCGCTGCCAGTGTTCTGTCCCAGCTTGGCTGTGACCTTAAACCCCTGCTGACAAAGTATCCAAAGGAGCCTCCTGCCACCTCCTCTCTACCTTACTTCATTCTCCATTAGATCCTTTTGGTCTTCACTGGGAGTGGGGCTGCATACCTGTAATTTGAACACTGGGGAGATGGAGACAAGGCTGGAGGACCCTTGAGTTCCAGGCCAGCCTAGGTTACACAATGACACCTTTTCTCAAAAAAAAAAAAGCAAACAAAAACAAACACCAAAACAAAAAGACACACACACACACACACACACACACACACACACCAAATTCAAAATCTCATTTTCTTTTTCTTTATTTGTATTTTAGGGAAGGGTCTACAGGGTGTTCAGGGTCTCACTACTAGATGAGACTTTAGTAGTGATCTGCCTGTTTACAGCCTCCCAAGAGCTGGGATTACAGGCACACGCCACCACGCCCAGTCTCAATTGCTGTCTCAGCATGCCCCAGCAGTGGCAGGCCTGGTGATCGAACCCCCAAAATCCCATTTTCATAGCCCGATTGTCACATGAGCCATGACTGGCACAGCCTGGGGGACCCCAATTCTGCCTGACTCCCCCTCATTGAACTTTCCATTGCTCTTCTCTGCTTTCACTGTCCTCCCATCTGTCTGGTCATCTCTCTGGTGCTGCCCGCCTCAGCGTCGCCGCTGTGGCAGTGACCAGCGCCCCCTCGACCTCCCTCTTCCCACGGTGCCTCTTGCATCCTGCCAGGGCAGAAACTGCACACTGCAGAAGCCGCACTGTGTGGACGGCTGTAGTGACGGTTTTGAGGCAGGGTCTTGCTCCACAGCCCGGGCTGGCCTGGAACTTGCAGACCCTGTGCCTCTGTCCAGCCCTCAGTGGCCTGCAGGAGTCATGGGCTGCGGGATCCCACCATGCATGGCACACACGTCTGTCTCCCCCACTCCTAACCCTGACCCTGCCTTTGCACCCGGGACCACCCGCTGCCGCCAGCCTTGCCCTTTCTTGACTGCGCTGATTTAAAATTTCTGATGGCTTTATAGAACTCAGAGTGAAGGGTTGGGGGTCGTATCACCCTGGCCAGCTCTCGGCCACCCTCATGTGTGTCCCCATACATGTCAGTGTCCACCCTGCCCTTCTGACCGGACCAGGGGCCACTCTTCCAGGCCTTCTAGGCAGAAGACCCCGGGACTTCCACATGCCCTGTTTTACAGGCAGCTGCCGGCACAGATGCTTCGAGGCTGGTTTTCGAGGCCTGGAGGGCTGCCGCTGCGACGCAGGCTGTACAGACCGTGGGGACTGCTGCTGGGACTTTGAGAATAGCTGCGTGGAACCAAGTAGGACTCATCTGCCGGCTGTACCGTAGCGCATGCGTGTCCAGCTCTACCAGGGCACACAGTAGTTTCCTGGGCCCACCACAGCACACGGGGCAGCTCCCAGAACAGAAGCCCAGCCAGGTGTGGTGGTGTGTACTTGTGATCCCAGCATCAGGAGCCTGGCAAAATCACTCTGGCCAGAAGCCCACAGTCTGGGTGCTGGCCGAGAGAAACTGTCCCTCAGTCCTCGTTCCAGGTGACTTAGTGGCAAAACCTGGTGTTCTTCGATTGGTGGCATATTACTGGGCAGCTAGACTCAGTTTCCCCAGATATCCATGCTCTTTGTATCCTGAATGAGCACCCTTCAGAAGAGAGGGTGGGCAGTGCCCAGGGACGGCAAGGGCAGTGAGTTCTGGCCTGGGCTTCTCTTCTGTGCGCCTAGACTTTGGGGCGAGGCCAGGGTGCTAACTCCTTGGCTTTCCCCAGTCAGTCCGGTCTGCCCTTCAGGAGCGGAGTTGGTGAACTTCCCTGGGCCTGGACGAAGGTAGAACCTGCCTGCAGTAGGGGGCTCAAATCCCAATGCTGAGCCAGGCGTGGCAGCCCCTATCTGTGATGGGGGAGGCTGAGGCAGGAGGATCGTTAGGAGTTGAACATACAACTCATACAACCACGGTGAAGACTCGGAGAAGGAAAAGACCAGTCAGGGGAAGGTGTTCATCAGGACAGGTTCATTGCAGAGGAAACCTGAGAGGGGGCGCTGTGGAGCATCGACTGCGCCAACCTGCGCTTGTGCAGGCAACCTGGGCTTCCGGAGGGTGTGGGGTGCAGAGCTGAGGGAGGGGGGCTGTGGACCCCACGAGAGGAGGAGAGCAGGGAGGCGCAGGGTCGGAGGTGGGCGGCATAGAGGGTTTCTGCTCTGAATGGCGTACGGATTCCTCCAGAGATCAGTGTGGAGATTCTTCAAGGAAGCTGAACAGGAATTCCACAATACCCAGAGCATATTTTCAGGCTCCGGTCAGGGTGTGTTTTCAGGGCAGGAGCTCTCCCGCCTGTCTCCTCCTGCCCCCGGGCACGGCTCCAAGGGCGCCTTGCCACAGGCTCTGTCTGCACTGCCAACTCGCGGTCATGGGCCTCCCTCTGCCTCTGCGCCCCCTCCGTGGTCCCTTCCCCAAGCATAGTGGGGTGAGCATGATCGAGGCAACTCCCTGGGAAGGTGGGTGACCCTGGTACCCAGGTGCCAGCGTGCAGAGCGTTCTGGCCCACTGTCCTTGGGAAAGCCCGGATTGTTTTCAGTACTTTTATGTACTTATTTATGTAGTCTTTTGAACAGGGTCTCACTATGCAGTTCAGGCGGGTCTTGAGTTCACTTAGTAGCCCAGGCTGGTTTCCACTCTCAGTGATCCTCCTGTCTCAGCCTCCTGAGTGCTGGGATTACAGGCATGCGCCACCACACCTGGCCCATTTTCAGTATTTAATACCCAAGTGTCTAGGGCAGGGGGGGCTAGTGGTGGGAAACAAGGAGGTGAAACAGCAGAGTCCTTTATGTTCCCTGACAGGGCCCTGAGGAGGTGACCGACCAGAGCCAGTGATCCATATCTGCTCTCCTTTACTGCCTCAAATCTTTCCTTTCTAAGTAATGAGTGATGGCAGAACTCTACAACGCTCCCCTGTCCAGCAGGCTTGGCTACACACAGAGCAGAGGTGGATTTTAATCTGTCTCCTACCTAGTAGGTGGCATCAGGAAGAAAATTGGTGCCAGCCTCTTGCCAACATGTAAAATTTGATTTAGGGTTTTTTTTTTTGTTGTTGTTGTTGTTTGTTTTGTAAACCACTGATCAAACTCAGGACCTTGTGCTTGCCTGGCAGGTGCTTATACTGCTGAGCTATCTCCCCAGTGCCTAATTTAGTTTCTGAGCCAGGGTCTTATTATGTAGTTCAGGATGGCCTTGAGCTTGGGGCGGTCTGCCTGCCTCAGCCTCTGCACACTGGGATCACAGATGCACTCACCACACCTTGCTTTTCTTTCTTTCTTTTTTTTTTTTTTTTTATGTATTTAGTACAGGGTCTACAGGGGCTCAGTACACATCTCGCACTCAGTAATTCTCCTGTTTTCAGCCTCCCAAGCGCTGGGATCATAGTGCACCACCACGCCCAGTCTCAATCTCGGACTCAGCGTGCTGCGGTGGCTGGGCGGCACAGCACACCACGGCCGGTGCACTCTACCTAAGCAGGTGCTTTAGTCGGCCGAGCTATCTGGCCTCCGCCATGCTGCTTTTCTTGTCCTTTAGAGCAAGGGAGTTTATGTAAGCTGCTGCTACACTGAGTCCAAAGTCTGAGAGGACCCAGAGGGGCATTTGGAGAGACCGGGGCTGGGGTTCCCCTTCACCCCCTCCGCCCTCCCCCCGTCCTCCCCCCTCCTCTCTCCCCCCATCCCCCTCCCGCCCCTCCATGGGACCCTGAAGACACAGTGTTTGCGGTCTGCTCCTCCTTGCCCGCTGTCTTTGGACCAGGCGAGGAAGCCGCTCTGGGGTGTCCCTGAGCTGGGGGGCGGGGTTGCCATGGAGTGGGAAAGGACCCTGGTCAGAGCAGCCGTCTGGCAGGGTGGGCCAGATGTGCATCTCCCAATGCACTCCCCCCCTCCCCCGTTCTCAGGATCACTTATTTCGTATGTTTTTAATCGATTAATGCTGGGAGCGTCACTCTTTTATAATAATACAGGGGAAAATGGAAGACATTTCCGCTTTGTTTGTTGCACACTGGAAATACACGGTGCTCAGAACTGACGCAGTACTTTTGCAGCTCGGATATGGACCTGCAACCTGTTCCGCTGCGGGGAGAGGCGTCTGGAGCGCAGCCTGTGCTCCTGCGCGGACGACTGCGAGCAGCGCGGGGACTGCTGTGCCAACTACGGGAGCGCATGCCAGGGTGAGGGCCGCGCATGTGCCATGCCAGCTTCCCAGTGGCCTCCCGGGCGGCCGCGAGGCGAGCGGAGCTGGGGGTCTCTGGTCTGAAACTGTCCCGTCTGGGTTCAGAGCTGAGCACCCTGCAGGAACAGATGCAGACTCAGGAAGAGAGTCCAAATGCTCCAACCCCTGGTTCCACAAGCTGTTTGAATTCTTTGTTCATTTTGTTGTTTGGAAATAGGTTCGCAATAGTCAATTCCGGACGACCCCAAGCTGTTGCCTCAGCCTTGTGAATACTGGGTGAAATTCTTTTTTAAAACCACTGAATTCCTTGGTGGCACATGCCTATAATCCCAGCACTTGGTAGGCTGAGGCAAGAGGATCTTTGAGACTTCAAGACCAGCCTGACTACAAAATAACCCCAACTGCACAGTGAGATCCTGCCTTAAAAAAAAACAATCACTAATTCCTCAAAACATTCAATGAAATGTATGAAAAAATGCACTCCACACTCAACCAAGCTAAACAAACATACTTTTAATCATTCTTCCCCCCGCCCCAACCTGGGATTGAATTTAAGCCCTTGCACTTTCCAGGGAAGCGTTTATTCCACTGAGCCATCTCCCCAGCCCCCATTTAATCATTCTGATGTATGTTATAGTAGAAACATTATTAACTGTAATCTGTTAGTAGAATGTTTTTTGTTTTGTTTTTTTTCAGACAAGGTATCATTATGTAGTCCAAACCAGCATTGAACTTACCATGTAGTCCAGGCTGGCCTTAAACTTGCAATAATCCTCCTGCCTCAGTTTCCCAAGTGCAGCCATTACAAGCAAATAATTCTCTTTCCTTTTTAATTTTTTGTCTTTTTTTGAGACAGGGTCTCACTATGCAGTCCAGGCTGAATTTGAGCACACTTTGTAGTCCAGGTTGGTCTTGAACTTGCAGTGAGCCTCCTCAGCCTCTTGAGTACAGAAGCAAATAATTTTCATAGTAATAGAGGAGTCATTTTTGTGTAAAATATAATTAAAAATCAGCTAAAAGGTTTATTAGGACAAGAAAGAGCCAGAGGCAGTAATTTCTTATATTTTGATGGTTTGTTGGTACAACTTAGGTATATACAGTGATCACATTCATCATAGGAAATTTGTACCTGTGCATGGTTTTTGTTTTGTTTTTGTTTTTGTATTTTTTAGGGAAGGGTCTCCAGGGTGCTCAGGGTCTCACTAATAGATCAGACTCATAGTGATCTGCCTGTTTACAGCCTCCCAAGGGCTGGGATTACAGGCATGTGCCACACCCCCCTCATTTGCCATCTCAGTGCGCCCCGGGGGCGAACCCCTGGACCCTGTACCTGCTTGCAGGCACTTTAATCTGCTGAGCTATTTGGCTGGCCCTGCATGATATATCTTGATTCCTCTTTCCCATTCTCACCTCCTTTCAGTACTTCTGCCCTGCTTTATTGACAAAGCTTTACTTCCATTTAATCCTTCTTTTCTCATTTTTACTTCATGTTTTTCCTTTCTCTTCCCTTTTGAAACAATAAGTATTTAATATTTAATATGGAATGCTGCCATTAAAAAATCCCTGTGTGTTCACAGAAGTGAGCAGAAGGTTAGTTTGCTAATTTTTCTAATTTCAGAAGTTATACTGCTTGCCCTCTTTAGTCTCCCTTCTGGTCCAATTTTGTAACTTGAATTTTTGTAGCAAGAGTAATACATTGTTGTTAAGCTCATTTTGTAAGTTTTCCACTGAATTTATTGCACAATATTGCTTGAATTGAACAGCAAAAGTAATTTTGATAGCTAGTATTGAAATTTAATATAACCACTCAGTACAATAGAGTTACTTTATTCATTTGCATTTATTTATTTATTCATTTATTTGTCAGGATCTTGCTACGTATTGTAGCCCAGGCCGGCCTCAAATTCTGCTGCAGCTTCCCTTGGGAGGCTGAGATTAGAGAGCTACCATACGCAGCCTAAACAGTTAGATTGTTTACATGCCTGGAGGCTTTCTTTTCCACAGCTTTATCTGATGGGCAGGGCTCAGAACTGAACCCCTTAGGGCAGGAGTCCTGTGGTGGTTTGCTTTTCTGTCTCAGTGCTATGCCCTATAATCCCAGCAGTTGGGAGGCTGAGGCAGGAGGATCACTGGGAGTTTGAGGCCAGGCTGGGCTAAGCAGTGAGTCCCAGGCCAGTATGGATTACATAGTGAGTTCAGCCTGAACTACACAGCAAGACCTTGTGTCAAAAGAAAAAAGAAACAGCACCCAAACAGATGTGATTCATTGGCAGTAGCTAATATATTTAAGTCTTTTAAATATATACGTTCCTTTTTTTTTTTTTTTTTTTTTTCCTCTATGCAACTTGCCACCAGAGAGATGGGCTCATTTGTCCTATGAAGTTCTGGAAAACTGCATCCTTTATGATTTAAGCAATGTGTCATGCCGTGCATTTCCTGAAAACTAGTCATTAGAGCCTGAAGACTGTGAGATTCTGTTATTGATTCATTGATGTTTTGCAAGTACCCTCCTTAGGAGTAGATGGGAGTCGGCCCGAGCACAGCGCCCAAGCACACCCCGTTCACTTATCCCTCTGAGGGGTTAGCCCCTGGTACTCACTCTAGATCCGCTAGGGGCTGAATAGTAGTAAATGCTGACAGATATCTTCTGTCATTCCTCTCTCCTTATTTAGCTAGAATATTCTAGAAAGAGAAACACCCATGAAGCAAGAGGTTTTTATTTTTGTTTTCTAAGATTTTAAGTATTTGTTAAAATTTCTCCAGTTGATATCACTATTTCTATTTTTCATGCTTTCCAGTCTTCTTCAGACTGTGCACCTCTCTTTATTTGTGTGCTTATTTTGCAGTACAGGGGATGGAACCCAGAGCTCCCCAACCCTGTTGACATTTGTTATTTGGAGACTGTGTCTTGCTGAGTGGTTCAGTTGCCTGGGCTGAGCTAGAATTTACAATCCTCCTGCATCAGCCTCCTAGGCACCAGGGTTGCAGGCTGTATATCTATGTTTATTAAACCTATTTGTTTTAACACTTGAGAAAACACTGTCCTCAAGGGTAAAAACAAGGAACAAAAGCATTCTTGACCAGGAGCTAAAGGAGGCCCTGTTGCTTTTCCTGGCTCGCTGTCCCCAGGTGGCATCTGCAAGTCATTAGCAGCCGGCTCTCAGAGCCAGGACCAAGCACTAGCTGAATCCTGGAAGAGTTAGTCAACTGTTCAGAGAGAGCTCGGCCCTGACCCCTGGCTCTGTCATGCAGGGCACCAGTCTAAAGACTGTCATCTTTTGCTTGCAGGAAGAACCCCATGGGTGGAAGAAGCCTGCAGCACGAGCCAGCAGCTGCAGTGTCCCCAAGGGTGAGTGCGGTGTGCGGACCTGGGGCTGCTCAGAGGATTCCCTCCACACTGAAACTCACACACAGTACAGCACTGGCTTAGAGGCCTCGGGGGCCACAGTGTACACACTTCTGCTTGCTGTATCATTTGTTTTCGTTTTGGTGTTTTTTGGGACAGGAGCTCCCTGTGGACCCAGGCTGGTCTCGAACTCATGGTGATCGCAGTGCCTCAGCCTCCTGAGTGCTGGGATTACACACATGCACCACCACGCCTAGCAGTTTCTGTTCTTTACAAATTTTGTTTGCAGGGGTCTACACAGGTCGTTCCTTTGAACTTCCCTTGAGAGCTGGCTCATTTTAGTTCTTGTGTGTGACACAGGGCAGGGGGTCACAAAATTGCTCACATTTTGCCTAAGTGGGATTTTTCTTCAGGCATTTGCTTTGATGGGTGAAACCTGGCATGTAAACCTAGTAAGATGCACTCAGAACCAAGCACCACAGGTTCAGACGGCCACCATGGAGAACATGGTTACAAGCTGCACTCAGTCACTTCTGACAGGGCTTAGTGATCATCCCAGGGGGACTGGGGTCCAGCTCCATGGCAGGGTATAGATTTAGCAGGAGTGAAGCCCGGGGTTCAGTTCTCAGCCCCAAATGAAGAATAATAGCTGATGTTTGTGAGGTTCTTACTATGAACCAATATGATCCTTTCTCGAAGGTTAGGAAGTATGGAAGCCCTTTGAAGTCACCCCATTGTCTCTAAGCCCTGGGAAGAAATGCATCTGATGAAAGGGAAGCTCAGACTGTGCTGGAGGTGAGGGTGGGGCTCAGCCCACAGCACATTTGACTACTGAGCCAGAGTAGCCTGGGAGTGACTTCTCTATGTTTCTGTGGTCTGGTGTCCCTGCAAGTGACAGGTAGAGCCCCTTCCACTGTGCAGGTGACAGAGAAGGGGTGAAGGTCCCCAAGATGTCCCTCCTATGAGTGGCTGGGAGGAGATAGTAGGCAAATAGAAAGGTTTGTACTGGGGCTGAGAGCGGAGTCACAGGATGATTGGCAGCTGCGTGTCTTTTCACTGCTCAGATGAAGTGCCCACTTCCACAGTTTAGGATGGAGAGGTTTGTGGCGGCTTCCCTTTCAGTCCCCAGTGAGGTAGCTCCTAGGCAGGGCAGCGCAGGGGCCTCAGTGGAGGACAAGCTGCTCGGTGCACAACAGACAGGAGGCAGGTCGGCAGGGTGGGGTGTACTCTTCCGGATCACTCTCCAAGTGGCCCTCCTCTTCTGGCCCTCTCCTAAGAGCAAGTCTACCACAAGGCCCCCCATGATCCCAACACCTTCCTGAGGTCCTTCACAGGGGGCTTTAGGAGGACATCCAGGTCTAAATGTGTTAGCACCTTGGAGCAAGACCACATAGCAAGCTGGTGAGGAAAGGGTCTGGGCTGAGGTGTGGCACAGCAGCCAGCTGCTGTCATCCCTGCGGTCCTTGGAAGTCATGCCTTACCCACACCCTCAAGCCCTGTGTGCCACATATACCCTGGCCCTTCCCAGTGTGAGCAGCAGTAGCTGGGAGCAGTGTCCATCCTAAGCTATGCTATATCGCTTTTGTGTGTTGAGTTGTTTTTAGACAAGAGACTCTCTGTAATCTTGGCTGGCACTGAACTTGCTGTGTAGCCCAGGCTAGCCTCGAAATCCAGACCCTTCTGCCTCCAGTGCGTGGCACCATGCCCCACCATTTTGCTATTTCACTGGTCATTATGCATTTCCTACATAAGTGTAGAAAGGATCCTGGGTTCCTAAGGCAGATAGATGCACGCTAGTCACCTAGTTGTGACCCTCTTAGCAGGGGACACTTGGAGTTACTTGATCTCTCTTCCTATCTCATCAGTTACCTGTAGATAATGCCAGTACCTGGCTTGCAGGTGGGTTTCTTTTTTATGCATTTAGTATAGGGTCTACAGGGTCTCATTACACAGATCGAACTAATATTGATCCTCCTGTTTGCAGCCTGCCAAGTGCTGGGATTACAGGCGCTTACCACCATGCCCAGGGGCAGGGCCGGCACAGTACTCTGGGGATTGAAGCTCGGTCCCTGTGTCTGACTAAACAGGTGCTTTAATCCACTGAGCTATCTGGCCAGCCCATGCGGGTGGTTGTTACTTTGTGTATTTATTTGCCTGTGATACACAGAACATGAGATTTGGGATGACAATTTTGGCACCTTGAGTCCTTTTTTCAACTTTCATCATAGGCAGTAAAGGTACCATGACCCAGTGTCCAGCCTTATTAACAATTAATGAGGAAAAAAAATAAAACAAAGAAGATACCATTTTAATTTCAAAAGGAAGCACTGCACCAGATTTGTAGAAGGTACCGGCCACTTGTCTCAGTCGCAGAAGAATATGCACTCCTTTATTTCGGGGCTTGGGGGGAGCTTAGGAACTGAACTCAGGACTTTGCACTTGTCAGGCAGGGGCTGTCCTGCTGAACTTTCTCCCTGGCCCCATAGAAGAATAAATTGATACAGTAGAAGAAAACTGTATTTCTCCGGAAAGCAGGAGAAAACCTTCAGGAATGCAGGCCAAGGACATAACGAAGGATATTGTGCTACAAGGATCTTCATGGCAGAATAGAAAGTGTGCTCCGAAGGGCCAGGCAGCACTCCTGGAGGGGCCGGAGGGCAGGAGGAAAGAGGTGTAGGGTGTAGGGATACACACTTGTGACCCCGCACTGCAGGCTGAGGCAGGAGGACCACTGGGAGTGTGAAGCCAGCCAAGACCACACAGCGAGACACCACAAGAAAGTATAAAAATATATAAATTAATAAATAGTACAGCATTGGACTGAGCCTGTTCCACAGTTAGTTGACTTTGTCTTTAAGCTGCAAGGATATTACGATGACATATTTGTACATATGAATATTTTGATCAGAATTATGCTAATGGACTTATGAAAAAATAAGTAATCACCCCAGGCCTGTTTGATTTTGTGAATTTCCTACGTAAGTCATGTCACATGGCCCTGATTTGCTAGTTTTTCATTGAGATGTAGTCCATACACACTGTAATGCTTATATCTCAAGTAGACAGTATAAGAGGTAGAATCATAGACCTACAGCCTATTGACAAACTTTCTTTTTCTTTCTTTCTTTCTTTCTTTCTTTCTTCTTTCTTTCTTTCTTTCTTTCTTTCTTTCTTTCTTTCTTTCTTTCTTTCTGTATTTAGTACAGGATCTACGGGGTCTACAGGGTCTCACTACACAGATCAGACTCGTAGTGATTCTCCTATTTTCCCTCCCAAGAGCTGGGATCACAGGCACATGCCACCATGCCCAGTCTTAATTGATGTCTCAGCACGCTCCGGGGGTGGGGCTGGCACGGCACGCTGGGATCAAACCCTGGCTGTTGCACTTTGCCTAAATAGGTGTTTCACTCTGCTGAGCTATCTGGCCTTCACTGGACAGGCTGTTTCTAAGATACAGAGCATCTACACTACAGACCCTTACCCTGTAAGGGTCCCTCGTACTCTGCCCACTCACTGCTCCTCAACGCAGCCACTGTTCCGATTCCCACCACCGTAGGCTCCTGTTGCAGGATTTCTAGGCACTCTCCTGAGCTTGGCTTTTTCAGCCTGACTCAAATGTTTTTGAGACTCACGAATGTTATTTATAGGTATCGTGTCAGGCCTTTGGTACAACATTTTCCTGATTCAAACATGAATTCCATTTTCCTTCTACCTTATTTACATTACTCTTTTTTGGCTTTTTGAGACTGTATCTTACCTTTCTGTTTACTGAGACAAAATACGGGACAACCACAACTTAATGGGGAAAAGGTTTATTTGGCTCACAGTTTGTAGAGGTGTCAGTCCATAATTGGCTGGTTCCAAGGCAGGCTGGCTTGGCAGAGGGCATTGCAGAGCAAAAGATCAGCAGCAGCAGCAGCAGCAGCAGCAGCAAAAAGCGACAAGTGTGTGACAACTGCCACACGCCTTTCTTATTCAGGAGCCCATTAGGCAGGTAGCGTGCCCACCCTTCATCCTAGCATCGAATCCTAGACTCCAGCATCGCACACTCTAGACCCAGCTACCTCCGAAAAGTCCCACCTCTGGCAGTGGGGCGCTCTGGGGGACATCTAGACACAGGCCTAACAGGGCCTTGCTGTGTAGTTCAGGCTGCACTTGTGCTCATCCTGGAGCCCAGGCTGGCCTTGAACTCGTGGCGATTCTCTTGCCTCACCCTCTCACATGCTGGGCTCACTGCTCTTTAGAATTCAGTTACACCTCCAGGAGAGCCTGCTGTCACCCACCAAGATGAGGTGTGATGTCCTTCTGTGTACATGAACAGAACTCGTGCTCACAGATAGTCCTTCACTGTGCTGCTTACCTTTCTTTCTTTCTTTCTTTCTTTCTTTCTTTCTTTCTTTCTTTCTTTCTTTCTTTTTTTTTTTTTGAAGGAAGGAAAGTTTATTTAGCTCAGTTACTGGAGGTTTCAGTCTATACTTGGCTGGCTCTAAGGCAGAGAGAGGGACACAGGCAGAGAGCATCCATTCATGGCGGCAGAACAACAACAGTGGCAACAGAGAGCCCCTGCCTGCTTAGTTTTCGATTCCCTTTCCTAGCCATGGGCCCCGACTCCTGGGTCTTCATCCTCAGCATCCAGCACAGTGTCTGACTCAGATTTTTGTGAAACCAGTTACTGTACAACAAGTTCACTCTGGGACGCCTGGTGGACCTCTCCTTCCCAGCTCCTTTCGTAACATGCGGTTGGACAGCAACACCCATGTTTGTTCTGACCTTAGCCAAGCTCACTGGAAAGCCACTTTCTTCTTATAAATTGCAGGGCTGGGGAGTTGGCTCAGTGATAGAATGCTTGCCTAGCAAGCTGGAAGCCCTGGGTTTGGTCCTTGGCACCAAAAACAAAAAATAAACTTCCCCTTCTTATAAATTGACATCAGCGTTCCAAATTTCTCTTAATCACATTTGGGTAATTTATCAGAATTTTAGCAGCCTCACTCTAACACAATTTCTTAGGAAAAAGAAATGGTTTTGTCCAAAAATTTAGATAATATAAGTACTCGGGCTTTCTTTTTGCATCCTCATTTACATGTTTTAAATTTGGAATTTGTATATGTGCTGCCAAAGCGAGCACAATATTTGGAATTTGAAATAAGTGTGTGCATAGCTGTATTCATAATGGCCTCAAGTTGGAAAAAAACCTCAAATATTCATCAGGAGTAGAAAGAGTGAGTGAGAAGGACAGCCTCTCTGCAATAAAGCTTTGCAGAAAGTTAAGAAAAAGAAAAAGAAAAAAATCACAAGCTATGGTTTCCTCATGACTAGAGTTTCTAGAATATTCGAAAATACGATCTGCGAGTGCACACGGTGAGGGACCAGTCTCCTATGGAGGAGCCTGACACAATAAATGCCTCCTTGGGGGTTCAGCTAGCATGCAATTTGCATGTTTGGTTTGCATATAATTTGATTTTTATAGTACAAAAATAGGCAAGACTAATCAATGCTGTTAGAAGTAAAGACTCTGCTCATTCTGGCTGCAGTTGTAGGTGGCAGTGTTGATGGACTTGGGGGCGCTCCAGGGAGCTTCTGGGGACTGGTGAGATCTGTTGTGCTTGCTGCTGGGGACTAGGCAGGGTTCAGTTAGTAAAAAGGTGTCACGTACACATCTGTGACGTGGCATGTGAGCACACACAGTTGTGACCACCACAGGTGAAAACTATGCAGAGTGCTAAATTTAAAAAAGACATCTCTGGTTATAGCACAAAAGTTACCTTTTATCAATTTTGCCTTTGAAATGTCAATGTAAAAAGAAGTTAAAGGGCCGTGGAGATAGCTTAGTGGTCTAAGCTCCTGCCTGGCAAGTGCAAGAACCCGGGCTTGATCCCTGGCACTGCATGCTGTGCTGGCTGGGCTTTGAGCTGGCCCCCAAGACTGAGCATGGTGGTGCACACCTGTAATCCCAGCAATGGGGAGGCCAAAACAGAAGGATCACTATGAGTCCAAGCTGCGCAGTGAGACCCTGTATCAAATACATGAAAATAAAAATAAAAAAGAAATGTTTTTGAGGTGTATATCAATACCCTTAGATATTGGAATACTAACTCAAATAATGTAGAACTTTAAAATACTACAACATCTGTGAACAGTTTCTAAATGCCAACTTCTGTGCAGTTCACATTGGCCTAGAACTTGCAGCCGTCCGCCTGCGTCAGCCTCCTGGGTGCTGTGAGTACCAGTGTGTGCCACCACACTCAGCTATGTTCTGCTCCTGGACTAGCTGGTTGGATCTATTCTCTACACTCTCCCCTGCAGGGATTGCAGCTGCAGGATTACACCTCAGGCGTGTATGCCAGGCCTGAGCTGTGCCTGGAGGGGGCAAGGTGAAGTAGGAGGAAGAGGAAGCTCTCCGCACACACTCACGGGACCTGGGCTAGGACTGGGTCTGGGGCCTCCGGGATGGGGCAAAAATTCCTACTTGGCGGGCGGGGTGGGGGAGGCACTGCGGAGTGGTGGGCGGTGGCCCAAGGGCCTGGGAGAGGGTCCGGCCCACTCTGCGCCTGGGCTGGGACTGGTCCCGCCGGCGCAGGGTAGCAGGAAGCTCTCCGCACACTCACCGGACCTGGGCTAGGACTGGGTCTCCACACTCAGCTATGATTAAATTGAAAAAAGAGCCTCTCTGGCTCTATCACGAAATTGACCTTTGATCATTTGACCTTAATTATCAATGTGAAAGACAACCAAAAAGCTTCTGAGGTATATACCAATATCCTTAGATGTTGAGTTCCTAATTCAAAACATGCAGAACTTTAAAATGCTAAGGTGTCACATAGATTAGCTTCTAAATTCCAAATCATACTTGCATTTGAAAGCTGGTAGACCTCGACAGGCCCTCCTGGAGCTAAGCATTTCTAATTAGAGAATTGTAAGCTGTGCGGCCAGGTGGATTCCCTGAACATCAGACTTGCGAGTGAGTGTGGCTTTTCTTCCAGGTTTGAGCTGCCTCCCGTTATCCTGTTCTCCATGGACGGCTTCCGCGCCGAGTACCTGGACACGTGGGTGCCGCTGCTGCCCAACATCCGCAAGCTGAGTGAGCGCGGGACCAGCGGGCGGGGGTGGACCGGGGAGCCCTGGCCTCTCACCCCATCCTCAGGCTTCTGTAGCCCCGGGTCTTCCGAGCACAACATAGCGTGCCTATGGATTTTCAGTAGGGACATGTTTTTCATGTCTGTTGACTTCTTTTTGTTTGTTTTGGGTTTTATGGCAGCTGGTTCCTCTTTTTGTTTAATTTTGATTTGTTTTGTTTCTTTGAATCTAATAGTTGTCCAGTGGAAGTCTATTGATAACTACTCTCTTGTTTTGAGAGGTGTTCTCACACTGTAGCTCAGGCTAGCTCTGAACTCATACTGATCCTCCTGTCTCAGCCTCGCGAGTACTGAGATTACAGGCCAGTGACACCAGGCCCACTTTCATGATAATTTTACTGGTAGCCTTTTAAAAAAATTGTTTCCAAATTGTTAAACAAACAAACAATAGCTTTTTGATCTTGAGTAGGTTTCTTGGCTTTTGGGGCCTGAGTTTTCTCTCTTTTCTTCCTTCCCTTGTCGCAATAGGGTATCATTATGCAGTTCAGGCTGGCCTTAACCTCACTTGATAGCCCAGGCTGGCCTGCAGCTCTAAGCGATCCTCCTGCTTCAGCCTCCCTAGTGCTGGGATGACAGTCGCAGGCTACCACGCCTGGCGTGGCTCTGAGTTTTCTTATAAAATGAAGAAAGTAGAAGCCAGGAGTGGTGGCGCACACCTGTGATCCCACACTCAGGAGGCTGAGGCAGGAAGATTGCTGTGAGTTCAAGGCCAGCTGGAACTACATAGTGACACCCTGTCTCCAAATATCTTCACAAAACCAAAAAATAAGTCTAGATCTACGCAGCTTCCTGTTGATTCCAGCTCTAAGATTACCATCAGTGTAGAATGGTGATTACTGTACTTTCCCTGCAATGTAAGGGGCACTGTCTTCAGCTTCTCCCTTGCCCTTTGAGGCTGCTCATTAGCAAAGAGATCAAGAATTTTCCAAATCCAAAACTTCCCTCTTTTTTTTTTTTTATTTTTAAATTTCATGTATTTGGTACAGGATCTCATGCAGCTCCAACTTGCAGTGATCCTCCTGTCTCAGCCTCCCCAGCACTGAGATTGCTGGTGTGTACCACCATGCCTGGTCTAGGTGGCCAGCTCAGTGTTCCCAGGGGCGAGGCCAGTGCAGCATGTGCCGGGGATCGAGCCCTAGTCCCTGCGCTTGCCAGGCAGGTGCCCGGCCACAAAACTTCCCTCTTCCTGCTAGCTGACATTGGCTCAGAAAGTCAAGCAACACCTCCCCACTTCTGCTTAATCACCTAGGTTTATCTGCGTAGCGTGGTCAGCCCCAGGTCCAAGGGGAACTGAACAAGCCAGGCCAAGCTGAGTCCTTTCGCCTGTGGAATTCTTGGGTTTTCTCTTCCAGTTGAAAATTGCAAATGATCAGAGGAGAATATACTGGGCCATCAACAGCTTTCTGAGTTTCCATGCTTAAAATAGATTTACCTCGGCCAGATCAGGTACTTCCTTGTTAGTGACAGGCCACAGGAGGAGCAGGTGTGAGGCAGCGCCAGGGTTTCAGTGGCCTCAGGCTGGTATGGCAAGGCAGTGCCACTTGAAGGAAGCCAGGCCCTGTCCCTCACATCCCCTCCCTGCCTGGCTTGGGCCGCAGAGCTCTCAGGACATGGGAGTCTGGGAGGACGTGGCTTGAGGATTTGGTGCTCACGTGGCTCTGGTGAGGCAGGGACTTGTCCTAGTGAGGGCGGGAGACGCAGCACGGGCCAGCAAGGCCAGGGCACTGTCCCAGGAGACAGGAGGTGGCCTGAGTGAGAAGCCAGGCTCTGGGAAAGTGAGGGGAGAAACTGTACTGCAGGTAGACAGGATGGGAGCAGCCTGCAGACCCAGCAAGCCACGTGTGCGGTGCCCGGGCGGGCGAGAGATAGCAGGGCGGCTCCCGGGCCACCTGCCTCTTCTTTCACTTTCACCCCAGGAGCTTAGCATGAGACTGACCCTCTGCGGAGCTTAAGGCTACAGCACAGGGCTGCTGCCTGGCCTGGTGGCACGCCCTGCGATCCCCAGAAGCTGAAGCAGGAAGACTGCTGTGAGTTTAAGGCCAGCCTGGGGTTAGGGAGAGCTTGTCTACAAAGAAAAACTGAAGCAAAACCAAAACAAGATGGTTATCATCTATACACAGAGGCCTGGGCAGCATCTCCTGAGAACTTACTCATTTTGCAAAACTGCAGTTCTCTACCCTGGCTGGCATCATTCTGCATTCTGCTTTCGTGATTTTAACTGTTTTAGACAATGTCTAGGGGTGGAATCATGCAGGACTTGCGTTTCTGATTTAGGGTTTTCTTATTTAGTATAATGTCTTATCTAAGGTTCATCCATGTGGTTCATAGTACAAGATTTGTTTCTTTTTAGAGGCCAAATGATACAGGTGTATCCCATGTCATTATTGCTATTATTTTTCAGTCCATCCGCTAGGAAATATTTGGAGTCGGGTATTTGGAGCCTGCTGCATGCATGCCTTTAATCCCAGGATGCGGAGGCTGAGGCAGGAGGATTGCTGTAAATCATTGGCCACCCTGGACTACATCATGAGAGGCTGTCTTTTTTTTAAATAACATTTATTTATTTATTTATTTATTTATTTATTTATTTTTTGAGACAGGGTCTTGCTGTATAGTTCAGCCTGCCCCTGAACCTACTGTGTAGCCCAGGCTGGCCTCAAGCTTGCAGCAGTCCTCCTGCCTCAGCCTCCTGGGTGCTGGGATGACAGGTATATGCCATCATGCCGGTTGTAATTTTTGAGGCTTGCTTTCCGTTTTGCCTAGCGGCTGCACTATTCTGCATTCCTGCACGAGTCCCCACGCCTCCACACACTTTGCAGCACTCACTTTGCTTTTTGGGTGAATGACCTCACACAGGTGACACAGGAACTTGTTGTAGGGGACACTAACATTGTTACTGTTGCGACTTTTCATAGATGTGCTGGTAAATGAGAAACGGCTGCTCATGTTCTTGCCTGCCTGCCCACCCGCCCTCCCTCCCTCCCTCCCTTTCTTTCTTTCTTTCTTTCTTTCTTTCTTCTTTCTTTCTTTCTTTCTTTCTTTCTTTCTTTCTTTCTTTCTTTCTT